CGTAGCCACCATGTGGCTGCTGGGAATCAAACCCGGGTCCTCTGCAAGAGCAATCAGTGCTCTTAACTGCTGAGCCATCTCTCCAGACCCAGATTTTGCTTTTTATGCCACTGCTATAATCTCTGGGGTGGCCAGTGTAATAGTTGGCTGGGATAATAAATCCCACTTAAGTGTGATGTACAATCTATTACAGAAGCTCTTGGGTTCAATTTGCTTGAATTTTGTTGTGAATTCTCATGTCTGGGTTTGTAAGAAGCACTGATCTGCAGTTTTCTTTGTGAGGATTTCTCCTTATTTCATTATTACACTCATAGAAGGAGTTGAAACTTTCTCTTCTAAGTTTTTAGAAAAGCTGTGAAAGATTGTCAATCCATAATTCTTCTTTTAGTGTTTGATAGAACTTACCAGTGAGGGCAATCTGATCCAGAGACTTTCTTTGTGAAAAAAAAAAAATAGGTTATTAGTATGATATCTTCAAATATTTTACGTTATTTTTGAGTCAGTTTCGCTAATTTTTGTCTTTCATTCATGTTCAGTATCTGTCTGTTGGACAGTTGACAGCTGTTCCTGGTACTCTGGTATAGTCCTTTTCTTTCTTTAAAGTCAGGGTGAGGTACTCCTTTTTTATTTTCTTGGTTATTGTAATTAAAGCTTGTTAAGTTCATCAACCATTTCTAAGAATCAGGTCTTGTTTCCATGGATTTCCCTTATGTTTTTACTGTTTTCTGCTTTATTTACTGGTCTCTGATCATTATTATTTTCTCTCTTTGAATGCTTTGGATTTCAAAGTTTCTTAAAGAAGACTAGGTTATTGATTTTGAGAACTTTCTTATTTTCAAATGTAGGTGTGCACAGCTGTGACTTTCCCTCTAAACACTGTTCATATCATATCACTTAAGTTTTGGTATACTGTACTTTTTTGGGGGGCGTCTTTTTGAGACAGGGTCTCTCTGTAGCCCCAGCTGGTCTGGAACTCACTATGTAGACCAGGCTGGCCTTGAACTCACAGAGATCTGCCTACCTCTGCCTCCCGGGCGCTGGAATTAAAGGTGTGCCACTATGCCTGGTGATATGCTGTATTTTTATTTTCACTCATTTTAAAGTAGAGTCTACATTTCCTACTGATTTTTGACACATTGTTTATTTAGGAATAAGTTGATTAGTTTTTACATATATGTAAACCCCCAAATTTCCTTCTTTTATTAATTTCTTAATTAATCAAAATAATGATTAATTTCTTAATTAATCATTATGGTTTGAAAACATTCTTTCTATTGTTTCAATGCTTTTAAATGTATTATGGTTTTTCCTGTGACCTGTCCTGTGATGTATCTTGGAGGATATCTTGGAGGCATTTTAGAGATTGCCTATCCCGTTACTGCTGAGTTGAATGTTTTAAGGATGTCTGCTGTCTAGTTGACTTAGAGTGCTGTTCAAGTTCCCTATCTTTTTGTGGATCTTTAGTTTTCCTGTTAACTGTCAAAAGTGTGGAATGGAAGTCCTCAGCCTTTATTATTTCATTTTCTCTTCTTCCTTTCTGCTCTGTCAATTTTTGTTATCTATCTGAAAATTTCATACATGTATGCAATGTCATATCCACCCCCACTACCTCTCTCTAACTCCCCTTACAACTCTCCAATCTATTCCCCATCAACTTCATGTCCTCTTTATCATCATCATCATCATCATCATCATCATCATCGCCACCACCACCATCAATTCTATGAGTCCAAGCAGCGCTGACTACATGGGTATGGATGTGGAGGGGGGGGGTCTGTCAATTTTTATATCATGTATTTTATGGTGTGTTTGGCGTATGTATGGTCTTAATTTTCATATGTATTTCTGATAGATAGATCCTTTAATAGTCTGAAAATCCTTTAGTACCTGGAGCAACATCTTTGTGTTGTTTAAAAACCTATTTTGTCTGCTGTAGTTATGGCAACTCCAGCTTCTTTTACCCACTCCACATGGTATATCTGTTTTTCTTTTACTTCTAACGCGTTTTCCCCCTATGGACAGTTCTCATGACACCATGTCAAATTAGGGATTCCTAACACAGTATTATTATACTCCTCATTACTGGACTTTTTCAGATTGGCCATTGCTGATAGCTGTCCTACTCTTCTGAAGCTGTTTCGGGTTATGTAGGTACATCGCCACGAACAATGAAAGGCAGGTGGGGGGAATTTTCCGGGCTGCAATACTGACTAGACTCATGTAAATATATAAGATTCTTAGAAAAATTGTCATCAAATCAAGATGAAGCTGGGTCTTGAGTCTGGTGTCGAGGGTGGTATTTCCATGGTAGTTTGGGATTCTACTACCGTGCTGTACTACCTGTTCTGAATGCTCACATAGAAATTCAGGGTCTTTTGTGACAACTGAACACCAATCATGTGATTACAAACCTGTGTTCCAGTATGCCTGGCATCCCATCTAGTCTTCCCCCTCCCTGGCTGACTATGGGAAGGAAACAGATATGACAATAGGAACATTAGAATGTTTCTGTTCAGAGGCTGACCTTTGTGTCACTGTTCTTCTATTCAGAGGTAAAAAAAAAAAGAGATCAAGTGAAACCTGGACATGAGCCATTTCCGGGTCACAAGGCTGAGCTACTTTTCCTCTTCATACATTCAAAGGAGTTATCAAGATTCTTTCTCTTCTCAGCCCTCCCCAGCCCCCATCTGACAGGCACACCTTCCTAACATTAGGGAAAGGCAGGAAGTTTTCCCTGTTGGTTTTCTTTGTGATGACATGATGGGGCAGATTAATCAATGGGGAAAGCCCCATGTGAGAACACGCCTTCTTGTGTACATTCCCAATATTTTGCCATAAGTAGGGCTGCTGGCAGAGCAGAACAGCACTCTCAGGACACTAGGTACCCAACTCTGAGAGGATCTCTCCTGGAGCTGAGAATGTCCTGCAAGAGTCTGCTTATCTCTGCTTTGGCACTGATGCTACTGCTCCACCTCTGCAGTCAGTCAGAAGGTAAGTGTGGCCCTTTCTGTCAGCACCTGAGGGACAATTGTTCTCCCTTTCCCTAAGCCTTGAGCTCATCCAGGCATCCCCTATGGACAGAAGAAGCCTGCTAAGGAGTGTATAAGAAGAGGTGGTTGGTTCATAGGTGGATGGAGGGAGAAAGGGTTCTTGCTATGAATCAGAGGTCAGTCCATCAGATTTAGGGAGTGATGGGCTTTGAGAAGTCCCTGAACTTTAGGACGAGACCAGAGTGCCATTTCTGGGGATGAGGTAACATTGTGTAGCATTTTCATATGTATGGTCCTTCTGAAATGTAGAGAACACGTTCACGTCCAGCCTCTTCACCTCCCCACTAAATAATGTTAGTACAGTTCATAACTTGTCCTTTAGGTACAGACTGTTAGTATGGTCTGTTAGTTAGTACAGTTCATAACTTGTCCTTTAGGTACAGACTGTGAAACCTGACTTTGATGTTCCAGTGAGGCCTTGGGGACATTGCTCACCAACCTTGAGATAACATTTACTGAGTACCTTACAGCAGGTTACAATTTAACTTTGAGGAGCACCCAAGGATTGCTTTATTACATCACTTTTAGCAGCAGGTGCATGCCTGAAAAAGTGCATGTGATGAACTTTTATGAACAGAATTTAAGGTCCTATCACCTAATATTACCGTTTCAAAGTGCTTTAACTGTGACTCCTAAGAATCACATTTTTTTTGTAACCTTTTTTTTTTTTTTTTTTGAGTTTCTATGAAGTCACATTTTTCCTTTAATCTGGCTTTTCTATACTCAGTAGCCAGAGGACAGAGTAAATCATTTTCTGATTTGAAAGGTTTATCTGTAAAGGTCCTTCATTTTAAAATGATGCTGTTGGGGACAGGTATCCATATTCTTGAATGATTATGGCGAACAGGCATAAACTATTTGAATTTCATGCTAAAGATAGAGAGAAGCCATGGACTTTTAAGCTACATTATTGAACCCAAACATTCCAGCATACTATTTATTTTTAAGTGGTAATTGGAAACTATGCTAAATTGGATCTTGAAAACTCAAAATAGGTTTCAAAGACACGAAAACTCTCCCATTAAATAGATTATTTACCATAAAAATCAAATTCACTGGATTTTTCATTTCAGGTAGTTCCACAAAGCCAATGACAAGGGATCGTTGATTCACTCAGCACATTTCATTTTTCCTTTCAGCAGCAAGCACCTTCGACTGCTGCCTACGCTACACAGAGCTCATTCTTCCTTTCAGATCCATTGTGGGCTTCACAGAGCAGCTGGTCGATGAAGCTTGTGACATTAACGCTATTATGTAAGTTATCAGCAATTTCATTTCCATTATGTTGGGAATGCACAGAAGCTGTTGGGGGGTTTTATTTAGAAATAATTCATGTGACAAAATAGCTTTATTTCCTATGTACTTCAAAGTGTAAGTAAGACTGAAGTGAGTCAAAAGCTCAGCTTTTAGTTTCTGAAAAAGTGAACATTGTATAGGGCAGAAATCACTTTCTATGATAACTTAGTGTTGTAATATATGGAAGATATATATTTTGAAAATAAGCATCTTCTACAGGAAAATGGTCATGGATAATTATGCTATCCTATGTAGCATCTAAGAGAGTCATATATGATGTTACATTTTGGAAAGACACAAGCTACTGGCCACATATACACATGTCACGTTTCTCCATCAGCTGCAAAATGGAGTGACAAGCTTGGGACTTTTACCTCCTGTACAGTCATCTGCTACTGAAGAGAAGGTCAAGGAGAATCATTTCATTTCTCCTATCATGATTTATTATAAGCATTTTTCCTTTCTGTTCATCTTGGCTAAAATGTTTCGTGTATAGAGCAACTGACTAGCATATGCAATTTCCAATGCACATTCAGTGGGAAAAAAAGTGTTTAAAAGCTTATTAAATGCAAGTCAACTTCTGATTCTTCAGCTTTCACACCAAAAGGAGACTGTCTGTGTGTGCTGATCCGAAGAAGGTCTGGGTGAAGAGGGCAGTGCATTTCCTCAGGTATGGATCACTGCCGGGCAACCAGCCTCCCTCCACATGGTGGGGACAGAGGTGATAGTGGGTGGCTCAAAGGCCTACTGAAATTTCTTAGTCCAAGGACAGGAGATTTTAGAAGGGGAAATTTGGGTGAGTCTACACAAATAAACAATGGATTTTGCACCCATAGATCAATATCATCATCATTTTTGTTATTATTTTAATTTAGTGAGTTTTTCACCTGCTATGTTAGATCATCTGTGCATCTGATAGTGATTAGCTACTTGATTCTTGTTGGAAAGATGTTTCTTCTTGATATCATTTATAAACTTCCTGACAGTTGATTGGTTGCCAAAGCCTGAAAAACAAACAGTTAAAAAGAGATCAATGGTTCTGGTTTACATCAGTGATAACAGAGAATAACATCTTGTCAATAAATGGTACCTAACACCAGTGTGCCCTAGATACTGAACTTGAAAACCCAAGATGAGTGTTCCTATCCTGTTCTGGTCATTAAACTGGCTTAATAGTGTTGGGTCAGGCCATCCTCTCCCAGGCTCATTTCCTCATGTGGACTCTGAGTTGCTTTGCATATTGAGATGAGGTTGAAGACATGTGAGGCACTCTTTAGGTACCAAAGCCATTCCTGCTTCCAGCCATTCCTTCACACTTTATACTTTTCTGTTATTACAGTCGAAGAGTCAAGAACATGTAAACACGGATGCTCTTCTGGGATGGAATTGGACACAGCCCAAGGACAAAACGATTACAGCCGGAGCTGGAAGCTCCACGTACATCACTTAGCATTTACCTGATTTGTCTCACTGGACTTGTTCAATGGATGAAACTGATTCATATTGCATCATAGTTTGCTTTGTTTAAGCTCATGCTAGAGTTAAGCTGTATTTTATGTTATTTATAGGTAGATGTAGGTTTTCTATGTTTAGCTATTTAATATTAATTTCCCATAAGCTAGCTATGGGGTTTAGTGCAAAATGCATTATGTTTAGGGGACTAAGATTGTATGGACCTTTCTGTAACCAATAAGCTATTTTAAAAACTATTTAATTTTCTTTATATATTTAATTTTGTCTCTTAAAGTGGTTCAATTACATTATAGAATAGAAAATAATTATAAGAATATTGAAAATAAAAACTAAAAAATTACCTGCTGGTTGAGTCCTGTGTCATTTATTGAAATGTATATTGAAAATATTTAAAGGTACAGAAAACCTGACTACTTTCTGAAAATTTCATTCTTCACTTAATTCTGCCTGGCTTTTCCCTTTATCTCTGTTCCTCACAGACCTGGGCTTGATTCTATAAGGATTACAATGAAAATGCTGTTCTTTTGTAATTTAAAGTTATTTAGGAAATGAGAAAGATTCTATACTTGAGACACATGGTCCAGTCTTTACTGATATAAACATTTTAAACCTAAATAAGCGTAACTATTGACTTGTGACTGTGGAAACACAGCAATCATTTAGAAAATACTTGAAGAAATCACTTGGCCCACCATCCTGTCACCAGCTGGTCATCTCAGTTAGGAGTGTTTCTCTGCAGTCCTGAGTCACTTTTATGCAGCTTTCCAAGGGAAAAGAACCACTCGGGAGTGTTCAAGAACCTGACTGCATTAGTAACCAGAGGGCAGATTTGAGAATCTACCGATAAGACAAAAGACCCTGAACGAATGGAGTTGTCATAATGTGCAGCAGGAAAACTCATTGAGTGCCTTCACAAAGACTTCCAGATGGCCTGCCTCATTTCTAATGAGCAGGAAGGCTCACCAGACAGGTATGCTGATGCGATAATGCAAGGTCCGGACACATACATCCATAAAGCAGGCAAGAGGTAGGTCATTTGATGAAAAGTCAAAAAGAGTAAGTGGTTCAGTGTGCCCTGGAGCTAGCTCTATGCTCCGGAATGGTAATCTTGAGTCATCAAGGAAAGTATGCTCAACATCCTGTGTACTGGTCCAGCCAACACAGGGTTAGTCTCATTATGTGTCAGACACTGTGCCAAGCACTAGAGAGATGAAGTGACTTAGGACTCTATAACTTATGAGTAGATAATTAGGGTTAAGCAATGTGGTTGACTACAACACATGATGGTGAGCACTTTAATGTGGAAAGTCATTGTACTTGAACATCATCAGGGAGGGGTTCAGAAGAAGAGAATGCTTAGTTCAGTCACATTAAATAATGAATTCCATTGTTTTGAACTGTGGACAAGGCAGTTTCCCATGGTTCAGCTGAGGTATGAAGGATCAGTAGGAGGTGGCCAGTTGGAAAGGTGTAGCAAGGAGTGTTTGGAAACATCCAGGGCACGTTTTAGTTGTCACAATATCTAAAGGTGGGGTACCACAATCATTCAGTGGGCAGGAGTCAGGGATGTTAAACCTACTGGAGTGCACAGGATTCTTCTGCACAAAGAATTGTTCTACCTGAAATGGCAGTCACAGTCACACCCCAGTGGGATAACACTGGCTGAAACAGAGCATATGGGGAAGTGGGGGAGGGGGATGGGGCAGCAGATTAAGTAAAACTGTTAACCTCACTACGTAGAGTTAGAGGAAGAGCAGTGGAATAGGGTACAGAAGAGATGGATTTGTGACAGCCAAGAAACACCCCCCCACCATCAGCTCCAAAGTCACCCGTTTTTGGAACAGCACAGCTGAAGAAAATCATTGTCTGGGGAAGGCAAATTAGGCTGACTTCTAAGAGAGATCACTAAGTAATCCTTGTACAGCCAAAATAGGAAGACATTTTACTAGTATTCTGAAGGTGTCTGAATCTGTGGGGATACAACATTCTAATAACTGTCTGGAGAGTGGAATCTCAGGACAGATGCCAGTTTACTATGAAAGCATGCAGGTGTCAAGTGCATGGGCATAAACTCATGGATGGATTAGTGAGGAAGCTACTTGAGAAGCCAGACGGGAATAACAAAGCTGGCTTGTTAAACACGGCCTCAGAGTGCAGAAGGGCCTCGCTTAGTAACTTGCATTATTCTGTTGGACTAACTTTGGCTTTGGATTGTAGATATTAACCTCAGTCCAAAGCTCTTTTTGTTTTTCATTTTGGAAAATGTACACTTTTCTATTTAATGTTTAATTGAGGTATAATTTATATGCACTAAAATATACATATTTTATATGTATAGCTTGATGAATTTTCTCTCATATTGGTACATATTTATACAGCTACTTTGCCCCTTTAATAAAAGTAAATGTTTTTAACAGCCAAGGTAGCCTCCTCACGCTCTCTTCTATCTGCACAGTGCAAAGCTAAAAACTGTCTAGACCTATTTCACAGTAGATTAGTTTTCTTCTTCTAGATTTCATATATATGAAACTACACAGAATATTTTTTTTGGTGGCTGGCTGTTTTTTCAGTAGAATCTCCCTTTATACTTACTCTAACTTTATTTGGACTTGTTTTTAATTATTCATGTAATTCATGAGTTAGTGTTCACCCTTAGGCTCAAGCAATGGTTGCAACATAGTAAAAAAAGTGATAAACCCTATTAAGCCTGTGAGTCCCCAGGTGTAACTTTGGGATGTTTTGCTAGGTTCTTATTAAGTTCCCCTTTTGGTTTATACAGGCTTTGTGGGACTAGAGACCATCACCACTAGTTTGTAATCAGAGATTAGGCCTGTTGCCTGGAATTGTTCTCAGATACCTGGGTGTTACTGAAGCTTTTCATTCGCGTATTTTCCAAAAGTCTCTTGTGAGACTGCTCATGTCTGGACATAACCAGAGAATCAAGAGGCAGATTTGACTTACTGTATTCTCAGGGTTTTTTCCAAATTCTTCAGCATCTCACTGAGCCATTAATGCCAGTGGTCATTAAGATATTAAATAAGGGGACTAGGGATGCAGCTCAGTTGGTAGAGGGCTTGTCTAGTATGCATGAAACCCTGGGTTTGCTCCTCAGCACCCCATAAACTAGATGTGTAGCATATGCCTGTAATCCCAGCACTTGGGAGGTGGAGGCAAGAGGATCAGAAGTTCAAGGACATCCTTGGCAACAGCAAGTTTGAGGCTAGTATGGGGTACAAGAGACACAGCCCCCCGAAAACCCCAAAAAGGTGTTAAATAAGATAAGGCTAGGGGGCTGTCTTTTCACTCTGAAAATCTAGATTATTGGTGATTTGGGGAGTGTTCAGTGAGACAGTAAGGGAGAAAGTCTCAATGACATTGAGTTGAAGACTGAATGGTGACAAAAATCTAGAAGGTAGCATACTTTAATATGGAAAAGTATAGAGGGATCTGGTGAGAGAAGAGAGGAGGAGAGGGGAGGGGAGGGGAAGGAAGGGGGAAGGAGGGAGCAGAAAGAAATGGAAGATGCTTGGTTTCTGAAAGAGTTGAAGATTCTGAGATTGAAATAAATGGTGGTTCAATGTCCTTCAAGAAGGAGGAAACAGAGAGAAGGGGAGTAACAGAAAACCACTTCACAATTTGGAGAGGAGGAAGTTGGTGGGGCTTAAATCTGGTGGTCTTGCTTTCTTGAAGAGCAATGTGTGAGGGGGCAGGACTGGGACTTTGAGGTAAAAGACGCTTCAAGAGAATCAGTGACAGGAGCCATACTGGGTTGTTCCATGGGGTCCACCAGGTTTAAGGTCTGGAAGCTGATTGGTTATGACTGGTATGTGCCGGGAGTGGGAACAGAAAACAGTGACTGGTTGGATGAGCTTAGTTTTAGCTTTGCATCTATATGTGAGATGCCAACAAAGGATTACAGAACGGGGAGAAGGTGCCAAACCATGGTGCCTAGACAGAGCCTAAAAGCATCTGTGAGATGGGTAGAAAGTGGAGAAGCCCTCAAACAAAGGGCCCTAATGTGGTCAAAGGGCCTCCCAGGGAGAAGCCTGGGAGGGCAGGAGGGCTGGAGCAGTCTGGAAGTCAAGCCAGGGTGCAACTCCATTGCAGACCAGGGATAGTGGAAGGCTGGAAGGCTACTGGTCTGGATTCCTCATCCCATTAATTTTCTCTCCCCCTTTCTAGGGGAAATACAAAGGCAGAAACAATCTTGCAAGGAAGTCCCATGTGTTCATCACCCAGTGTCAATGAACTAATGGCCAACCTTGTTTTGTTTGGGCCAGCCAACTCATTTCTCTCCACCAAGTCTGCTGGACCACTTGTAGAAATTCCTGTGTCAAATTAGTCTGTATATAT